CCGACTCAAAAAAAAAAAAAAGAATTCATTACCAAATCTAAGCTCATGAAGATTTATCCCTGTTATCTTCTAAGAGCTTTATTGTTTTAACTTTTATTTTTAGGTTGTTGATCTGTTTTTTTGTTCATTCTTGTGTGTGACAATTCATTTTTCACAACTGTTAGGACAAGAGTATTCTGGAGTGGTTTATAGGGAACAGGCAAAAAGAAATGCCTCTTTCGTCTCAAAAATCACATGTTTCGTAAAGTGAACAACTCAAAAGTGTGAACATACTTCCTCTCATGTATCAAAGAGGATATTAAAAAGAAATTAATGACAAGTCAAATCATTGGTATTGGAGACATGACTCTTAGTGACCCAGAATAATTGTTTCAGGTTCAGCCCTTGGCTATCATCTTTCCCCCAAACTAGTTTATCCACAGACTTTAGCTCCTTCCCATGTGTGCTCCTGTGTACACATAGAGAATATGTATAACATGGGCATGGTGGCAGTGATGGTGGTCAAACCCCAGGCCAGAGAGCAAACAAATTCTTCCTGTGAAAGGCATAGCAAGGGACAGGAGTAAAGCGTAAACGTGTGCAGGAGAGTAGGGGCCCTTCTGACGCCATCCCTGGAGCATGATTAAAAACCCCTCATGTGATTTGGAGTTATTTTTTAAAAATGTAGTTGATAACTAACAGCTAGATCAATAATTCTCAGCCCTGGTCAAATATTTAGAATTAGCAGATGAGCTTTTTAAAAACATCAAGGTGCACATGATGCCCCAAAAGATTCTGATTTAACTGTTCTGCATGGGATCCAGTTTTCTAATGTGCAGCCAATATTTGGCCAGCAATTCAACAGTTTTAGTTTGACAGCATTGTCTTCCAGACACCCAGAGAATTTGATTATGAAGGAGATCATCACAGCAGTCTTCACGAGTGGGTGACCATTTCCCAAGCATGGTGTCAGAGTCACCACATGTGTCTCTCCACCCATTGTACCTTCCTCTACACATTAGTAGTTAAAATTCCACCACCAGAGTTTCACTCTTTTTCCTTAACACTTTCTTTTATTTTTAAAGGATAACTATTTCTGAGATTATCTCATTTGTCATGCACACTTTGGAATAAGTAGGTTTATTAGATTATTAGAAAAGAATAGAGAGAGTGGAGAGTCCAGTGGGGCTGGATTTTCCCAGCTAAGAAATAAAGATGGCCAGGCACGGTGGCTCAAGCCTGTAATCTCAGCACTTTGGGAGGCCAAAGCAAGAGGATTGCCCGAGGGTTTGCGACCAGCCTGAGCAACATGGTGGGACCTCGTCTCTACAAAAAAAAAAAAAAAAATTAACCAGTGTGGTAGCTCATGCCTGTAGTTCCGGCTACTTGGAAAGCTGAGGTGGAAGGATCCCCTGAGCCCAGCAAGTGGAGGCAGGCTGCAGTGGCCGTGAGCGTGCCACTGCACTCCAACCTGGGTGACCAGGTAAGACTCCAACTCAAAAAAGAAAAGAAAAGAAAAAAGTAATAAAGATACAGAAGAAAAATTGGGAGATAACAATGATAGACTTTACTCACTTCATAATTCTGAATGGGTTCCAATATATTATATCCCATTAAACATTGCTCCTTGTTCGTCAGATTCCTGGGATTAGTTTGTACTGGTTATTTCTAAGAAAAAATATAGTTGGTTTACAAATTCATCAACTTTCAGAGTTTTAAGAACTGAGATATTCAAAAGTTAAACATCTTTTGTAATGTCTCATAAACAGTATTTTTCTGACTTGATAATGTAAAAGAACCTTGATCAGGGTTAACCCAGGAAGAGTGAGTCGTCTAAGATACTTGTTCCAACAGAGCTGTTAGAGGAAGAAATTCCAACTGTGTGGTGTGTGTGTGTGTGTGTGTGTGTGTGTGTGTGTTTTGTGTGTGTGCGTGTCAGATTAACTCTTGTTCTTCTACATTTTTATTCGAGACCTGGATTGAGTGCTGATCGTTGCTCTGTACTATCTAGTTTGGGATTAACCACTATTTGATTTTATGCGCAACATGGTGTTTCTTTTAAAATACCCTCTCCTCTTTTTCTGTAATTCAGATTTTTAGCTCTTCATTCATTCATTCATTCATTCACTTAACTATTCTGGAAACTGGGAATTCAACAGTGAGGAAAAACAGATACAACCTCTTCTCTTTGGACACTTACAGACTAGAGGAAGAACAAACATTAATAAATCAATCAGGAAAATAACCATATGATTTAAACCTGTGACATATGTGATGAAGGAAAGTTGATCAGTTCTATAAAAATATACAACAGAAGGACCCAACTGAGGTGGTCAGAAGGGCAAGGAACATTAAAAAGGGGAGCAGTGCATTCTAGGGTATTGTGGTAAAGGGGACTATGACTTCTAAAAAACTAAAGGAAGCATAGAGAACTAGAATGGTAGACAATGAGACAAAATAAGTGGGCAAGGGTGAATTAAAGTCATATGAGAGTTTCTGGTTTTTGTCCTAAAAGTAATAGGAAACCCCTGAAAGGTTTTAAACTATAGAGGGACATGACCAGGACCAAATTTCGGAAAGCATTCCTATAAATGCAGTCTAGTGATATATGGGAGAAGGGCAAGAGTGAGAAAAGTGAGGGCAGTTAAAAAGCTATTGCTGTAGTCCAGGCAAGAGATTCATAGCTTGAGCCAAGAGAGTGGTGGCAGAAACCGTGAGGCAGTAGGAATGGAGGGAAGGGTCAGGGGGCTTTTTGAGAAATGGGGTATCCAAATGGTAAAGCTATCAGGGTGATGGAATGAGAGGGTGAGGATGCCTCCTAGGTTTCAGACTTTTACACATACAAATGTGGACCAACCGTGCCATTCAATGTCAGCAGGAACACTGGGAAAGGACCACATTTGGAGAGAGGGGCATAAATTCCATTTTCAATATTGAGCTAGCATGATTTTGAGACAAAAAAATGTTATATTCAAAACTCTTTTGGAATATAGTAGGACCCTTTTTGTAATCAGAGATGCATTAAACTTGATCACATTTTGCAAATTAGTAAGCAAACAATTTAAAATTAAGGATGCTGTACTTCATCTTGCTGTTTTGCTTTAATTATTAATGACACCATTCCGGAGTGTGTTAGTAAATATGTTATATTTTTAGAAACAATGAAGTTGTGGTAATGGGAGGCCACACTTCCGTAGTCAAGCTAGTAAATCTTGGCTAAGGCAAACGTAGTGGGGGAACAGAGGGGGGCTATTTTTCTGGAGAGATTTATTGAGCTAACTGAACCAATGAGGTTCATTGGAATTTATGAATGGTTCATTAGTGTAACTATCTGAACACAAGGTGAATTCGCATTAAATGATAAGACTTCCTAATAATTAGTATATGCCACTCTTTAGAGTTTGTAATTAGAGGAAAGAGGCAAAATGAAAAGAAATAGATAAAAGGATAGTTGTTATAAAATTGAACTCCTTTAAAACCAATTCAGTTTCTTTAAGAAGAAAACAAGACAAAAGGGACCAGAAAAATTGGAAATGTATTTTCTCTCTTAGTTGGTAACTCAGCTTCAGGCTAGATCAGGGTTTCTGGTTTTTAATCCTAAAAGCAGCGGAAAATTAAGGAAGGGCTAAAACTAAAGAGTGACATGACCAGGACTGAGTTTTGAAAAGAATTACCTCATGCTGTGGATATTTTTGAGCTGGATAATTCTTTGTTGTGGAGGACCAAGTTGACCTGTGCATCGCAGAATGTTTAGCAGCATCCCTGGCCTCTTCCCACTAGATGCCAATAGCAACTCCTCGTACCAGTCGTAACAACCAAAAATGTCTTCAGATATTGTCAAAATATCCCCTGAGGGCCAAAATTGCCCAGTTTGAGAACCATTTAGCTAAATCTAGGATGTCTGACAACAATTTTAGGGTCTATTGGCTTTTATTTTGTTTCATAAATGTTTATTGGGAACCTTCTCTGGTGTGATATTCAACAAGGAGTAAGACTTAGTATCTCTGCTTCTAAGGAGCATATGATGGTAGGGAACTGGCAATCTTAGAAATTCAGGAATGATGGGGAAGGGTATCATTCTAAAGTAGGACAGAGAAGGATGTTCCTTAAAGTGTAGGATTCCACACTAACCTAAAATTATCCTGTAGCTGGAATTTTTCAGTGGCAAGTTCTTGAGATCTGACCTATCAATGCCTAGGGTTGTCTATGTTCATTGATAAGAGAATGGAGTATAAGGGAGGAATCCAGCAAGTTCCTGATGCAATATTCTTTGCATAAAGTATCACCTGACTTTTCTGGAACTCTGCCAGTTGCATTATAGTCTTTCTCTTCTATCTCATGGTATGATTCGCTCCTTCATAAAAATCAACGCTTATTGTCAAATTCCACAGCCTTTCTTTTTGTGTTCCATTAAACACTGGAGGCCAACCTTCCCTTTGTTTCTCCTCCTTACTAGGTTTCCTTGGTCCTGCCCTTGCTCTCCCTCCCACTGGGATCTTTTTTTTCATTTTCTGCTCTTCCTGATGGGCTTGTTGACCAAATGACTGACTCTGCGTTTTTACGAATTTAAATACCTGATCACACAGTATTCCTTTCTTGCTTAAACTGAGGAGATGATGTATTTGTAAATAAGTGTGAACTAAGCTGTTCATTGCCACACTCAGAATGCTTTTTTAGATTAAATGTGCCACTGTAAACTTTGCAATCAGGCTGGCTCCTTCTTAAGAAGAATACTGTTTTTCATTGAGCAGAAGACACTGTTCTGACATCCCACATGACAAAACACACCCTGGCTTCTATTTCTGCTTGATCCAAATGCAGGCAAGTCATTGATTCACCCTGAAAGCCATGCCTCTTTGTTTTACTTTAACACCTCTGGAGCAGTTGAAAGAAAAATGAGTTCTTCCTGCTCAAGAAAATTCTAAAAAACTCTCAGAGCTGATCCTCTGTGTCTTTGGGAAAATTTTAATTCACTTAGAAAAATACATAAATGAATGTTTTGGTTTGACATTTTTCGATAGTGCCTTTTGGTGAATATCCCCAAAGACCGGAACAGTCAGAAGAGCTGGATGCAGGCTCGAGATTTCTGCGCTGGGGAAGGGGGGATGCTGGTTGCCATTGAGAGTGAAGTGGAGCAAGGTAGGGTAGTCCGTATTCAATCAGGCCAAATAACCATTTTTATTCAAGTACCTATAAAAATATTCTCCTCAAAATACTAACACTTCCAAGTGTTATTTTAGCTTTTTTTTTTTTTTTAAAATCAGGGTCACTGTTGCCCGTGATGGAGTGCAGTGTCACGATCATGGCTCACTGCAGCCTCAACTCCCTGGGCTCAGCCCAGCTAATTTTTAAAATTTTTTCTAGAGACAGGTCTCACTATGTGTGCCCAGGCTGGTCTCAAACTCCTGGACTCAAATGATCCTCCCACCTCAGCCTCTCGAAGTGCTGGGATTACAGGCGTGAGCCACTGTGCCTAGCTCCAATAAGTACTATATTGCTGATGACACATGAGTTTTCAGTTTGACCCATAAGGTTTTATGTCATGACATCTGTAAAAGTTAGTATACTGCATTGCTTATACACTGCTGAATTTTGGAATCTTTTGTCTCAACAGAATCAGTGGAAAGAATAAGGACATATTTATGATATTTATTTTAAAATAGCTAAAATAATCTCAGGCATAGCCTACCATAATTGCATATTATGTTTTAGATCACTTTAGATTTGCCTATATACTTTTATTTAATATTTAGACAAATATATACTTTAATTAAAATATAGTAGATGAACCTTCTTTTGTTTCAAAAGGCAATAAACGAACACTGGAAATCATTTTGTTAATGAAATGATGAAATCTCAGGTTATCCAGCAAATTCTGTCAATTTAAACTAAAAGTGAAAAAATCTGCATTACCTTAATTATATATTGCTGTCATTTAAGTGTAATCATAGCTATAAATAGAATTTGATGATTCTCCAAATGTTTTATACAGCATTAAATCAGATAATGCATTCTTATTTTTCAGCTTTCATTACTATGAATCTTTTTGGCCAGACCACTAATGTGTGGATAGGGTTGCAAAATGATGATTATGAAAAATGGCTAAATGGAAAGCCTGTGGCATATTCTAATTGGTCTCCATTTGATATAATAAATGTAAGTGTTACAACATGTTTTTTAGAAATCATTTTAGCAAGAGATTTTTTTCAAGGTTTATATAGCAAAGCTTTTTTACTTCCTATATTTTTTAGGTATAAATGTATATTAGTTTGTTATTAATAACTTAATTTTTAATTTTGCAATTGCAGATAATTTGCATGTGATCCTTAAACATAATTACTTTACTCATCACAATGATTTTTTATTTTGTAGGTTATGAAGTGACTTGTGAACAGATTTATTAAATGCAAATAAAAGTAATAATGGTGTCTTAATTTTTAAAATTATGTCCTTAAAAATTTCAATGTAATAAAAAGGTTATATGTTATCATATTGCTGATAACATATTGTATTATTTTAAAGATTCCAAGTCACAACACCACTGAAGTGCAGAAAGACATTCCTCTCTGTGCCTTAGTGTCAAACAATCCTAATTTTCATTTCACTGGAAAATGGTATTTTGAAGACTGTGGAAAAGAAGGCTATGGGTTTGTTTGTGAAAAAATGCAAGGTAAGAAATATTTGGTTTTCCATTCCTTTGATTTTCATGGTGCAGCCTCCTCTGCCATGTTTATTTTACACAGCTATATAGTTATCAGCGTCACAGCTAACAGTGTCAGGCACTTATTCTTTGGCTTTATATATATTTACTTGTTAAGTCTCCACTACCCTAGGATTATGCTTTTTAGCAGGGTCCTCAGGACTGCAAAGGCCACTTAAGTGATGACCAAGTTTATGCATTCATTTTAGTCATATTAAATGGCTTTACTGCTTTGTTCTGGGATTATATATCTGTTCAGGTAATTTTTAAAAGTCTCAGAGATTTCACACCAGAACTCCCATTGGTTTCTGGCCTGAAATGCCAAAACAACATTATTGCAAATAGCCAATGAGGTCAATGAGCAGTGTAAATGGCTCTAAGTGACCTTGATTAATAAAAATAGTAACGATAATAGCTTTTTTTTTTTTTATTGAGTGCTGGATATCCTTGTACCACACCACCCTGGAAGGCCATTGTTTATGTCTAGAATTGTGTTGAACTCTCAACAGCCTGGCATGTATATGCTTACTTGGACTATGAATTCTACTTCTTAGTGTTACATGGATAAGAACTCTATTGATACTATCAACCCATCCTCAGAAAAGCAGTGCCAGGAGTTGAAAGAAGATACTAGATCTGTAATAGCAAGAGTAATTTGGCAACAGAAGAGTCTTGTAAGGAAATAAATAAATCAGTATACCATGTATTTGTATGTTCATTATGTATGTAGCACTGGGTCTTGGGTGTATGAGCATTATACCATAAAATCTTCAAGACAGTTCTATGAAGTGTGTAGAAGTCTCCCCTCTTACAGATAAGGAACTTGAGGCTTAAAGAAAATAAGTAACATGCTCAAGGTGTTTTAGTTAGACACAGTGATTCTATTCTACTACTTTGATGTTGATTCCTTTTTGAAATTTACACTCTGATCACTTTCTATCTTTGATATTTTGGGGACTACCAATGTAATGCTCTTTTGGAGTCAGTATAGAGGAGTAGTGGTTGAGAGCACAGGCACTGGAATACCCACCTTACATGAATTCCCACCTCACCTCTGTAAATAATCTTCAGTCAAGTTACTTAGCTTCTACTAACCTTGATTTCTCCAACTGCAAGATGGAAGAATAACTATTCCACACGTTCTATGTGTATATAATGCTTAGCATAATTCTAGTATATATTTAACAAATGATAGAGTTTGTTATTATTTTCAAAAAGTGTTATTCAGTTACACAAATTCTTGTAGTCTATAACAAATACTCAAAGTCTGCTCCTCTTCACTGTCAGATAAATATGCGCTTACATTGAGCTTGGGCCCAAAGTCTCTTATCTATTCCCCAAAATCAACAAATATGAATAAAAAAAGAGACAAGGGCAAAGTTAGGACATTCTGTTTGGAACTTGGTTTCCAATAGATCTTTCTTTTTTAGAGAAATGGGTGGCAAAATCATGTTGCTCAAAACCACTTGTTTTGAAACTTGATGAAATCAATTACAAATGGAGAAGTTCATATATGTAAAAATTTATATGTATACCTCAGTGGGAAAAAACAGTCAAATTGGCATTTGGGTCACATATACAAAGTATTTTAGTTACTTTAATTTTACCAATTGCTATCATTTTTAAATAACTACCTTGATATTATTTTGACTTTATTTAAATAGCCCTACACTGGATACATAGGCTGGCAAACAGACATCCAGCAATGAATAAAGAGATGATAAAAGCGACCCCATCACAATTTATAGAAATTAAATAGATTCATTTCACTTTGTTTTGCAAAATGTACTACTGGTATATTGAGGTATCAGTTTCGGGTAAAAGTCAGTTTCCCACTTTGCCATTTTTATTAGGGGGCGTGTGACCAGAAGAGGAGAGGGAAGTGAGAAGCACCATTTACTCAGTGCCTACTGTGTCCCTATATGAGAGTTGTGCCCTGTGTGAATAACTCAATCAATTCTACCCACACCCCTCTAAGGGAAACCTTAGTAATTTCTTATAGACCAGAAATTTGAGGCTTAGCGATAATAATTTGTGCATGACCTCTTAGCTAGTTAGGGCCAGGAACAGAATTAAGTCCCCGGTTTTCTGACTTTCCCACATCTCACCATGCTCCTTTCTCAAATGTGATAAAAACCAAGAGAAATGCAAGTCACTTTGGATGAGAAAGTGCAGAAACTGTTACCTTGGTTTTGTGTTTTAGGTTTTCTAAACTTAGCCTATCCTAGTTCAGAATATAACAGAACAGAAAGACAAATTCACATATTAAAGAGGAAAACGTCAATACGTAAAACACAGGCTTGGTTTTCACATGACCACAGTTGCTCATGAACACACAAGCATCCATGATCACAAGTGGGAAAACCTTGCCTTGTGATTTATACATTTTGCCTCTATCAGGTGACATATTAATATTAACTGTTTATGAAAACTGTGTGTATTTCTAAGCATTTATTAACTTTTAAAAATTATTTTTAGAATGTATACAAGTAAGCATTCAGCATGATAGTGACTATCAGTCTCAAAATTGTAATCAAATGTTTTATTTGAGAATATGTACCTATAAAACTAGGTTTGCAGTGCAATATGACTATGCAATGTGTGTCAGTATTCTATTAACAAGTATTAAGTTCTGCCAGAGCAGTATATGTTAGACTGAGTGTAGCTAGTGGAGTGAAACCTGCCTAAGTGGATCACCATCAGTTCCTCCAAAAAGTGGTCAGTTTGACAAGGAATGGTAAAAAATGGGAAATCTTCTCGAAATGGTTCTCCGTTTATGGTTTTGAAAAAAACCCGTTCATTAAATCTCCTATATGTTCTAATTCTTCAACACCACCTACACTCTCAGGTAGTGTCCTCATTTTGAAGTAGTCAGTTCCAGAAGAAAAACTCTGATCAACACAGACCACAGTTACAAGGAATCATGCAATGCTTTACCTCTTCCTTTCTCATCAAGATGCTACAAATGATTTTTATTGTTGTTCTTGTTCTAGATACTTCTGGACACCTTGTAAATGCATCTGATATGTATCCAATCCCCAATACCTTAGAATATGGAAACAGGACTTACAAAATAATTAATGCAAATATGACTTGGTATGCAGCGATAAAAACCTGCCTGATGCACGGAGCAGAACTGGTCAGCATCACAGACCAGTATCACCAGTCCTTCCTCACCGTCATCCTCAACCGGCTAGGATATGCCCACTGGATTGGCCTGTTCACTTCAGATGTAGGTGAACATCTTTGGGACACCCTTGCATAGTTAAGTTTAGCATCTACCTCCTCTGTGATATGGTACCTGAAATTAGCACAGAAACAATTTTTTTCCATAAATAATGTAACATTTAAATAATTAGTTTATATGATAACTACTAGCCTACCTTATGAACAGCCCATGACTACAAAATAAGGGTGCATACCTCTTTAGAGTAAACATCCACCTGCCTAATTTCTGGGAATTAATGCCCTTCAAAGGTTCTATAAACATTTCCAAGTACTCATGGCTACTGCCTCATATGTGCACTGGGTCACATCTCAAACTAAATCACTGCATTTGGGTAATTTGCTGTATTTAAGGAATTCCCAAGAAAAATGAACTATGCTTCTAGCCTAGAAATTTGATTATTAATTCATTTAGTATTCCTTGAAATTTAACATGTGGGTTTTTGTTGTTGTCTTTGTTTTTTGTTTTTCCCTTTAGGAAAATGAGGTCCCAGAAGTAAAATTGCTGAGTACACTTTACATTTTGACAAGTACTACCAAATTTCCCTCAGAAAGTTTGTACTAATTTACATGCCAACAACAGTATATGATAACATTTAGTCTTTCACATCCTTACCAATACTGGGCATCATTAAAACTATATTCCTTACCAGTGGGATAGGTGAAAGAATGATATTTTATGATTGTTTATTACATTTCTATATTACAGAATATTTTAGTTTTACATAGTCAATTGTGATTTATGGCCTCTGAATTTTGTATGACTTAGAAAGATTTTCCCCACACCAAGAGTACAAAAAATTTAGCAAAGTTTTAACAGTTTCATGTTTTCAATTTCATGTTTGAATCTTTGATCTAAAGTTTATTTTCAGGTCAACAGAAGGTATTGGACCAACGTCTTTATAAATACTTACTAGGAAATTATGGTGGCAGGACCAAGGATTCCTAAAAACCAAAAAAGATGTCATTTGTGGCAGACAGTCTATTTTGTCAGGCTGTATAAACTGTCCTAAACCTTCTGAAAAACATGTGGAAATATAAATCTATGTGGGAATTGCGGTATGCTCAGTTAGCATTGGGGGATGCTGCCAGCAGTCTTGGCAGGGCAATGATGGCTCTATTTTCCTCCACAGAATGGTCTTAATTTCGACTGGTCAGATGGCACCAAGTCCTCTTTCACTTTTTGGAAAGATGAGGAGTCATCCTTCCTTGGTGACTGTGTTTTTGCCGACACCAGCGGACACTGGCATAGCACAGCCTGTGAATCATTTCTTCAGGGCGCCATTTGTCATGTGCCCACTGGTAGGTTCAATTCTAAATTCACCTCAAGAAATACGTACTGCTGGGCACGGTGGCTCACACCTATAATCATAGCACTTTGGGAGGTTGAGGCAGAAGGATTGCTTGAACCCAGGAATTCAAGACCAGCCTAGGCAACTTAGTGAGACCTCATCTCTACAAAAATAAAGAAATTAGCTGGCCGTGGTGGAACACACCTGTTGTCCCAGCTACTTGGGCGGCTGAGGCAGGAGGATCATCTGAGCTCAGGAGGTCGAGGCTGTGATGAACAGTGATCATGCCACTGCACTCTAGCCTGGGTGACAGAGTGAGACCCTGAAGGAAGGAAGGAAGAGAAAAGGAAAGAAAAGAGAATAAATAAACATGTCCTATGCAACTAATGTATGCAAGGCACCGTGTAAGCAGGGGATGAGGATAAGGAATAAGAAGCCTCTGTCCTAGAGAAGTCTCTAGTCTGACTGGTGATGTAATGACAAATAACTGCTACATCAAGCAGGGCTACCACATGATATACGCGAAGTAGCAAGTGCTATAGAGGTTGTCAAGACAAAGAATGTGTCCTGTCCACTTGGGAAAAAGTAGAAAGTTTTCTTGAGGGACACGATGGGGAAGATGGGCCTTGAAGAATGGGTGAGAGTAAATGGGCAATGATGGGACATGGAGGGGCAGTCTGAGGAGAAAAGCTTGAACAAGGCACAAGGAAGACAGGACTGGGCATTTGTAAGCAAAGCTGGTGTTGGGATTTGCCTGTATCGCAGGCAGGAGGTAAGGGAGAGGTGGGAAATCAGACAGAAACATGGCCTGGGAGTGTGTGTGAATGCCTTTAATCGAGGATTTGTGCTTAAGTCAAAGACTACTAGGATTCTAGAGCCGTGATCATGATCATGATGATTGCTGATACTGTTTGAATATTTACTAGATGTCTGGCCCTGCACTTTGCATAACATCTCGTTTACACTTAAAGTTCACCGGGTCCCACCCATTTCTTAAAGATGAAACTTTCTTTTTTTTTTTTTTGAGTTGGAGTCTCACTCTGTGTCCCAGGCTGGAATGCAGTAGCACACTCACAGCCACCCCAGTATCGACCTGCTGGGCTCTGGCGATCCTTCTACCTTAGTCTTCCAAGTAGCCAGAACTACAGGCATCTGCTACCACACCTGGCTAATTTTTTAATTTATTGTAGAGAAGAGGTCGCACCAAGTTGCCCAGGCTGGTCTCAAACCCATGGGTTCAAGCAATCCACTTGCCTCGGCCTCCCAAAGTGCTGGAATTACAAGCTGAACCACCAAGGCTGGCCGAAACTTTCTTAAAGATGAAACTCAGAGCATTAAACAGCTTGCTGGGGACCTCACATCTGCCCATCAACTACTAGTACCAGGAGTAGAGACCAAGCTTCCTCACTCTCTAATGTGATGTTTATCCTGTTACGATGGACCCCCTTCTCTTGATTGCTATGGTGTTCATCAAGATAGTTCCTAACACTAGCTGATGTTCTTTTAAATCTCTCATTTATTAAAAGCACATGTATTTACTTACATTTTGGGCACTATATCAAATAGCATAGATATTATGTAACCTTAGATCAAAACAACTCAGGATTAAATGTAAATGATAGTCATATATATATTGAGAAAGCTAATTCTACATCTAAAACACCATGAAATCTGCCCCCTTTTCAATAACAATGCATTTACTGAGTGCTTAAGTGTCAGGCACTAATTCACTTAAACTTCTTAACTTGTGAGACAGGTATTGCTGTTAACTCCCTTTTTAAAAGAAACCTATGTAGGGTAGTGTGCCACACAGCTAGTAAGTGGCAGAACCGGGATCTTAGCATCGGTATGTCTGACCCTAATGGTTGTTCTCAGAAATAAAGTCTTCTCAAATTTCCCTTATTTACTTGGTCTTATGCTATATTATCATGGTTTATTGAATGTATTGTTTTTTCTCATAAGTTTATTAGTGGGTAAGGATTTTCTGAGTGTGCAAATACTCAGCACTGCATGGAACAGTTTGTACATTTGGAAATCCCTTTTGCTAGCGTCATTCAGCTGCCACTGTTTTTATGAATCATGTCCCCTAGTTGTTCCAGTCTTTAGGATACTAATTGTAAACATGAAAGACAGGCACCCTCACCTAAGCAGCAGCCAAACTACGCCTACCAAGCTATGTTATGACTGTAGTTTGTTATGTTTTAGTAAAGATTATTTCTGCCAGAAATGCTATAAGCTGGTCCTAGTTTTATAATTATTTACATTAAACTCAATCTTTCAGAGTATTACCATGAAAATTTTGTTACATATATCTATCTTTGTCTTTCATAGAATGTAATGTAATGTTCACATCTCAAAAGTGTGAACATCAGTCACCACCCTGGTTTTTCTTCTTAGAAACAAGACCAATTGAATACCCAGAGTTGTGCTCAGAAACATCTATTCCCTGGATAAAATTTAGAAGTAATTGCTACAGTTTTTCTACAGTCCTAGACAGTATGAGTTTTGAGGCTGCTCATGAATTTTGCAAAAAGGAAGGTAATTTTATTTTGTGATAGTAAATGCTTTTATGTTCTCCTTCTTGACATTTCAGTAAATAATGTGGTTTTCTTCATTTGTCTAGTGACTTTGGGAGCGACAACAACTATTGAAAAAGTAAATACTATTGAAGTTGCTTGTTTAGGGGACAGCTGATATATGAAACTTAATGTCCAGTGTAGAATTTGAAAACTTAAGATGATGTCTCAGCATACTGCATTTTCCCAAGAAAATACTCCTTTTGAATGCATTTGCATTATGAATTTTGAATATTCCCTAAAATTAATATTCTGTGTTTTAACTTCTGAACTGCAAGCTTATACCTTTTTTCAGTGTGGTTTTACCTTAAATTTTTTCATTTAAAAAATCACCATTTACAATGGAAACTTTTCACTTGTCAAAACCTGAGCTTCACAAATAATGGTATAGATGACTTTTTTAAATGTTATGTGTTAACACAAATTCTTGTTTGTTTGCCACTTGTCTCTTTTATAGGATCTCATCTTTTAACAATCAAGAATGAGGCTGAAAATGCATTTCTCCTAGAAGAGCTTTTTGCTTTTGGTTCTTCTGTCCAGATGGTTTGGTTGAATGCTCAATTTGATGATAACAGTAAGTGATTGGGTAGAGAAGGGGCGGACATACATAAATATGTGGCTGTTAAAGGCTGATGATAATGGCATCTGTAAGCCAGAAAACTCTCCTTGGACACATTTGCTGTGAAAAAATAGCATGAAGCCTAAAGCCATTTCTTCTAAAAATGGCATTGCTACACTTTTCAATACCCTCTTATCCTTTGAAATAATCACAGAATACCAAAAATAAAAACAAACATCCAATAACAAGTTTATTCTTAGTGTGATGAGGCTTGGCTGGAACTTTGTGTTCATAGACATAATCATAACATATCAATACAATATTTACTTGAAAATACCCCAGGTTCCTAAATGTTATAAAAGCAACAGAGTTATGGAAATGTTTCAGTGACAAACTGTGCTATTAGAATTCTTATTTGCTACTCATAAAAAACAAAAGTTGATAATAAAATGGAAGCATGATATCCTTTATCCTTTTCTTTATGTAATTGATGGTTATTGAAAGGTACTTGTAAAGAAAATTGTTTTAATTGGTATGGAGAGCTTGTTACAGTGGTGTACCAAGGTGGGGGGTGAGCCTACCCCTGCAAGGAGAAGTATTTTAATCACCGACATTGTCTAAAATTTCTAGCAGATGGTGATAATAAAAAGCAGACCGACTTTTAGTTAGCTTTGTTGTTAGTTTTAAGTTCTTTTCAGACAATGCATCCCCCGTCTCCAGGTTGTTGCCCACACACAGGATGGACTTTGCCACCACCCCTACCTTCTTGGTATGTGACTGGTTTGTTATTTAAAGAAACTCAGTGTAAAATCATTTTGGAATAGTGAGCCATTTTGTAATGGTATTGATGTTAGAACCTCAAAGGATTTTTCTATACAATGATTAGGTTTGTTTATTAAATGATTTTTAAGTTGATTATAAATAATATGGAATATTATAAAATCCCAACAGTTACATTAAGAAACATCCTAAGGGAACTAAATTGGAGCACTATCTAAAATAAATGGAGAGCTGTTCACTAGATAACTTTATTAATACCTTTTGATGTTGAGTTCATGACTGGACTTACTGAGTTGAATGCATCAGTGAAGGAGTCTCATTAAATTTCAGAGCTGCTTTTTATGGCTCATGACAGTCTTAGTATGTTTGATAACCATGCACATAATTCATAATGAGTCGGCAATCTTTCCACAGATGAAACCATAAAGTGGTTTGATGGAACTCCCATAGAACAGTCCAACTGGGGCATTCGGAAGCCAGACATGGATCACTTCAAGCCCCATCGATGTGTTGCCCTGAGGATCCCTGAGGGAGTGTGGCAGTTATCCCCATGTCAAGAAAAAAAAGGCTTTATATGTAAAATGGAAGCAGGTAGGTAAACTCAGAGAGTAATTATTTATTTTGAGTCTACCTTAACTAATGTTGACCTAATTCAACTAGATTCTGACATTATCATCTTGTTCTCCATCAAACAAATCAGAGAACATTTCAGCTTCTTCTTCCTCTGATATGAAGGAAAAAATCATTATAAATCAACTCAGACTTTATGATTTTCTGTATCACTCTGGTTGTTAACCTAATGGGCAAAAAAAATAGTTTACCCCAAGCAAATAGAACTAGAAACGTAAGCTAGCAGCCTTTATTCTGGTGACTGGTACTCACGGTTTTTAAGATGTATCTTTGGCCTCAGGAAATATCATCTAACCTAAGTGTATTTGTTGTAGACAAATAAATGCAATTCTCTGTTGCAAGCATAATGTGTCATAAAAGTCATATCTTAATTTCATTATGAACAATATACTTACTTTATAGTATGGAAATCATAACTAAGCTAACTAAACAGTGTGTCTAAGTTATCACTAGCATTTAGGTATCAAGAACAAATAAAAAACTCCTCTTATCTGCACAGGACTTTAAAGCTTCCTATAATACATATGACACCTCTTTCATCCTTCACAGCAACTTTCCAAGGTAGTGGAGCAATTAAAATATCCATTTTATAGATGAGAAAAGTGGTTGTCCAAACTGAAACTACATCAAGGACTACACTACAAATTTTCTAAGTGTTCTTTCTATGCCTCCCAGTGCCTCTATCCTAAGAATAGACACCTTTTAACAGTCTTTCTTAAAGAAGTTTATTCATATTTAATGTGATGGATATCCCAAGCATACTGTACAAATTATATGAGTGCATTAAATTATCACTTGTGCCCCCAAAATATGTATGTCTGTTAGGCACCAATAAAAAGGAAGTATCTTCACACACACAATAGCACAGGTTTTCCACAATTTAATGCAATATCATATGACATTATCTTTAAATTACAAGAACAAGTTGGGATTTTTAAATGTGATTTTGCTATTGGTAACAACTTATTTATTTTTAGTCTCTCAATGAATGCGCATAAGTAGGGCACCATGGCACTTCCTCCACTCACAAATCCACGCACTAATCTTCCTCTGGCTTCTTCTCCACATCTTTCTCTGGATCTTTACCTATATCAAAAACAGAAAACTTCAAGTTTGGGATAGAGTCTGCTTGAAAGAGATATATTTTTACAGTAGAGAGTTCTAAAACAGGAACCCTCTAACTTCTCACAAAGATGAAAAGATGCTGATTTTAACATTCTTACACAGAAGTAGGGCAATTATCATTGCTGGACAAAGTCCATATTGGATTTCAATAACACTGTGAGTTCCTTGCAGGCAGAATCTGTATGTTATTCTTTTTTTGTTATAGCACAGTGCTGTGATGGAAGAGAACTCTTTGGCTTAAAAAAAAAAAGAAATGCAGTGTATATTTGTGGGCACTAATAATGACGATTACTGTAAATCAAGGGTCAGCAAACTTTTCTTGTGAAGGGCCAGATAACAAATATTTTAGACTTTGGGGACCATATGGCTCCATCACGCTGTCATTGTAGCATGAAAACAGCCATAATAACACATTAATGAATGAGTGTGGTAAAACATCGTAAAAGCAGGTGACCAGGTTTCATCCATGTGCCATAATTTGTTGAGCCCTGCTACAAGTAATGACATAATTTTGCTGAATTAAAAAAAGTCATTCAATTTTTTCATTTTCTTTTAGATATTCACACTACAAAGGAACACCCAGGAAAAGGTAGGTTTGGAATAATAGAGAACATTTTGATTTCTCTTAGAAATAATAAAATAGGGCTGGACATGGTAGCTCAAGTCTGTAATCCTAGCACTTGGGGTGGCCGAGGTGAGAAGATTACCTGAGCCTGTGGGTTCAAGACCAGCCTGGGCAAAGTGGCAAGACCTTGTCTCTACAATAAAAATTTTAAAAATTAGCCAGGTGTGGTATCACGCACCTGTAGTTCCGGCTACTTGGAAGGTTGAGGCAGAAGGATCACCGCAGCCCGCAGGTCGACGCTGGGTTGGCCATGAGTGTGCCACTGCACTCCAGCCTGAGCAACAGAGTGAGACTCCAACTCAAAAAAAAAAAGAAATGAAATAGAGACCGAGCACAGTGACTCTTGCCTGCAATACCAGCACTTTGGGAGGCTGAGGTGGGTGGATTGCTTGAGTCCATGAGTTCAAGACCAACCTGGACAACATAGCAAGACCTTGTCTCTACAAAAAATATATATATATTTTTTAATTATCCCAGTGTAGTGGTGCACCACTGTAGTCCCAGACACTCGGGAGGCGGAGGTGGAAGAAGCATCTTAGCCTAGAAGGTGGAGGCTGCAGTGAGCTGTCATCATACCACTGCCTCCAGCCTGGGTGACAAAGTGAGACTCTGACTCAAAAACAAAACAACAACAAAAAAGAAATAATAAAATAGAAAGCAACTGCATGACAGCATCTATATTACTTCATTGTCACTTCTGTTTCTGTTTGTGTTTTATCTCGTTTCAGGACCAAGTCACAGCACTGTTCCTCTTTCAGTAGCACTGATACTGATAGTAGTCCTGGCCATTTTCATACTTTCCTTCTGCATATACAAGCAGAATAGCGGATTTTTCAGGAGACTTGCAGGGTTTGGGCATCCTTACTATCCTGCAACCAACTTTAGTACAGTACATTTAGAAGAAAATATTCTCATTTCTGATCTTGAGAAGAATGACCAATAACAATGAAGTCAGAGAATGCCACAGCCACGAGGAGAAGCAATGAAGACTAAATGGGGCATCCCTTCTGTGTCTCCCTTTACAGACCAGCTGCCATTAGAATGTGAATTGGGTCACTATTTTAATTATTCTTGAGGTGATTACTGGTTTTGAGTTGTAACCAAATCAGATGGGTTTTGATTTATTCATTTCCCTAAACTGTGATCCATTCTTAAAAAGGGAAAATTATTCAATGGTTATTATTCAAAAAGACAAGAATGATTAAAAGAAACTCCCTATTGAAAACTCTCAAACCAATGTGAATAATAGTTTTGCATTAATATGTCTCTACTAAAATTGTTTGGGAATTTAAAAACTAATCAAGTACCTATTCAGACATTGACCCACACTCATTCCATTGAGAGAGAGAAGAAAAGCAATATGCTTTTTAAAATCTTACGCTTGTATATGAGAGGAAAAGGAAAAGGCTTCTGAGAGGCTTCTTGTTTGTTTAATTTCATTTTTAATAACAGTGTTTAGAAAATATTAATTTCTAAGCTTAAGAATCGCAGGTTCTGATCTCTAAACCAATATTTGGGGTGACATTTGTTTTTATCAGGTCTGGTTAAGCTAAAAAAGAAGAAAAGATGCCTTTCTTTCAATAGCAAAGACCTTGGTCAGCAGCACACTTTCATAAGCAACCACATAGTTAAAATGTGACCTTAAGCCTTCAATTACTAAATGATGATGAAATTTGATATTTAAGAATGTCTTATAGATAAACTTAAAGAAACATATCAAGTTCTTAATCTTGTTAAAGCTCATAGACTTTATTAAAAACTAAAGATATAACAACCAGAAGATATAAAACATAACTTGAATTTAAAGGGAAAAAATTGAAGATCCAAATTATACTGTCATTAGAACCAGACTAGAGGGTGTGTTGAGAAGTACTAAATAAGGTATTCTTCAATAGTAATCTATATATATAGTAACCATTATGTATGAGGGGGGACCCCAAAAAACCTGGAATTTATTTATTTAAAAATTGTGTATTTATCCTTACATGTTTAAACTTCAGTCACCTTCAAAGTACTCTCTGTTTGATGCAATACACCTATCAAGAAGCTTTCTTCCACTGCTCAAAACAGTTTTTGAGCTCATCAATTTTGATGCTGTTTAGTGCTTCTGCCACTTTTTGTTTCACCTCTTCCACACTGGCAAAACATTTCTCTTTGAGGACTTTTTTCATCCAAGGAAACAAACAAACAAAAAAGTCATTCAGGACAAGATTGGGTGAATAGGGAGAGTGGGGCACAGGGATCATGCTGGTTTGGGGTCAAAAACTGCTGAACACTCAGTGCAGTGTGGGCAGGTGCGTTGTTAGGGTGGACGAACCAGTCGTCCACAACTCAGGACACTTCTCGAGAACACTGCCTCTTACAGCAACACTAATTAGTGCACTGATGCCAATGGATTCTTAGAACACTTACCTAGCAGGGGAAGCCTGTACTGCAACTGGCCTGCCCTCCAAAAGATAATTCTGGGGCTTTTTGGGTCCCTCCTTGTATGAGTTTACTCTAGGTATTCTATTTACTAAACCATGATTTCTAGGAACCATCTCCTTTTTATATTGGACTAGTAAGTGCAGTTGGTAAATAACAATAAAAATTATAATACTGTCTGTAAATGTTTTTAAATCACAGATTTGATCTTCATTAATTTCCTATAAAAGGAAATTAGCTTCATAATCAATGTTCAAAAGTTTATTCATTACATACATATTCATTGATTTCCCATTAAGAACCAAGTGTGCCAGGGTGCAGAGATACACTCCTGTAGTCCCAACTGCTAGGGAGGCTGAGGCGGGAGGATCTCTTGAGCCCAGGAGGTCCACTGCACTCCACTATGGGCAGACCAAGTGCTAATATAGAAATTGCGGGTACTAGAGTGAGCAAGTCGGCGAGGCCTGTTTTTAATGGCACTTATGTTCTACTGAGGGAAAACTGACAGTAAAGAAGTGCATAAATAAAACCCAGTAAAGAAATGCTAAGTAGAAAATAGCAGGTTATTATAAAAACTAAGTAAAGGTCCCGTGATAGAAAGAAACGGGAAATTTTAAGACCTCCCTGAAAGTGTGTATTTTATTACAACCAACTGCCTAAAAACTGGAGACCACCAGTCACAAGGGGGAGCTCCGAGAGAAAGTATGAATGAATTTCTAAGTGGCAAACCACCATTAGAAATATGATATGAAGAGCATGCCCTAAGAATGGAGTCCTAATGACCTGAAGCAGTTAATAAAGCTTCTAAAAGCAACTCTTTGCTTCTGCTATGTAGTTTGCACACTGAGACAATCTACCTCCATGATTTTTTTAAGCCTTGGAACTTCATTTTTTAAAAGATAATATATTATGTGGCCATTGCATGTTTATGACTCAAAATAATAATTGGCTTGAATAAAGCAGATGGTTTAAAAGTTCAATTTAACAATCTGCTGAGTGAAATTAAAGTTCTGTTCTTTTCAGTGGACTTGGTAAAAACTGCTAATCAATTAGCCTTCCAGTCAAGGTATATACTCATACATAACAATTTGACAAAATATGCCATTAGAAAAATAGTTTTGCAGAAAGAAACTGTCTTGCCTGTCAACGCTCTGTACTTTGATATTTAGTATTGAACCACATCTCCAGGGAATCTGTCCTCATGGAAAGATCGTGCACTCCTTGCCATTAATGAAACTGCAGAAATATGCTGCTAAATATATATACATGTACTTTTAAAAAATGTTTTCACATCTATTTTTAATCTGAACTAGATTTTATAGCTACAACATAAAAAGAAAAAAAGTATCAGGATCACAAATTCATACAATATTAATGCCCCCCCAAAACTCAATTTTTTTCTCTGACTAACCTGAACATCTGTACAGCTTCTGGGTAACGAAAACCTTGGAATTTTTCCAATGAACATTATATTGGGCTCTTCCAATTACAAAAGTCTTCTTTCAGGTTAAGTGTTTTTCTTAAAAGTTCTAATCTCTATCAATAATAGAGTTAAATTGTATGTTTAAGTAAACATTCAGGCCTCTAACGTGCCTTTACCCATCTCAAAATAGTGGTTGGAATATGAAAACTTGCTGTGTACTGGTAGTATTGAGGTAGTATTGAGAAGGTGATAACTAACTGTGGATGTATGTTATCTGGTGTCTAGTGAGAATAGTTGTCTGGCTCCACTCCTGGGAAATCTGCTCGCATCTCTGTGAAGTCTGGAGTTAGTGTAACTTACAGTCTTTTCTCTTTGATTTGGCCCCATCCTGGCTTTCCCTGGCACTGCCTTATTTCTAGAGAATCATGACTTTTGTTTCATTCCTTACCTGGACACTATGATTCTGGGCTGCAATGCCACTTCACTCCTGCAGTGGTAAGACCTTTCCCAGTACCATCAACTACTCTATTACTTGAGAGAGGCTAAATGTTATAGCAAACAACCCCAAAATCTTGGTGGCTTAACACAGCAAAGGTTTATTTTTTCACCACGCCCACATGGGCTGGCAAGACTTTGTTCTAGTCAGCCATTCATGGGTCCAGGCTCCTCCTGTCTACTTGGGCCTCCATCTCCTAATACCTGGAATCCTCTGCTGGGTCTCCTACCTGTGGCTGACAGAGGAAGTTAACTCAAGATCTTATCTTTAATTATGTAACTTCCATGGGCTGTTGAAATACATCCTTCACGTCAACAGACTTCAGATTGAAGACACATACTCTGAGGATACATAAAGATTTCCAGGGCATCAGGGGCATGGATGTTTTAAGGAACCCAGTTTCCAGAATCTTTAACCTTCCTTGTATTTTTTCTTAGAACTGACTTGCCTGAGAGCACCTCTGTGATCAAGGTGTGCTGGTTCTTTTCCCTGTCTATCATTGCACAAATGCCTGTCTTTACCTTTAAAATTTCTCTGTTAGGAAAAATCCTCCATGACACCAAACAAAAAAAAATTTTTAATATTGATGTCAGTGAAGCTTCTTTTAATGAAGAAATCATAAACTCAGTGTAGATCCTCATGTCTTTCCTTGTGTTCACACATTTTTCTGTTACAGAGAAAAATACATACATTTTTGTTACAAACTTGGAGTTAGAAATTAGTTGTTTTGCCCCATGTTCATAATACTGAATTAACATGTATCATACAGTGAACAACAGGAGTGCTAACTACCTTATCTGAAACTTCATCTCATCCATCTTCTGTCTATTGTCGAAGAATGTATTTCTGGAGAGAAAATCTGGAGAAAGCAAAGTAAAGAGGGTAGATGTTGCTAAGAACCTGACGTTTTACATTATCCAGGTGAAAAGCTCATGAGAAGGCTCTGTGCTTTATCTGTCTTAGATTTCTAAGTGAGTTGCAAGGATGAATATTAAGAAACTGATCTGAATTGAAAAATGAAACCAGACTTTTTCTGAACATTGTTTTATCTGGTTCATCGGTTTGACAATTTGGCTTTACCAACTGAGTTGTATACTGAACATTTTTTATTAATTGAATATACTAAATCTGCAACTCTTGTATTCTGATTAAAGCATGTAATAAGATAAAGGCATTTTAATAGAAAAATAGTATTGACAGAAATATAATGAATAAGATTTAATTTTTCCCAAGCTTACTTTGTGTATCAGGTAAAACAAGGTCCCTGTAAGTGAAAGAGTAGCAGCCTTAATGAACAGTCACTTGAAAAGTCTTAGTAAAGGGCTTTTAATTTTACTTCTAGGAAATTGACTAAGTGAATCACTCTAACGACTAGGTAACAAATCCTTTTGCAGGTTGAGAGTTTCCAGTTCTTTGTCTCAAGCAAACTGAAGGAGATCATCATCAAGTGGTCAGTTGATAGAGGTTGGAAAGTAATTTATAATGTAGGATCACTGTGGTTTTTGGCACCTATAAGAAAGAAACTCAAATAATGGGGTGATGTTGCTATAACAAACCTCCTTTCACTTCTGTCTACTTATTTAAATGAACAAAGTTCTATAGTCAGGATAGGTTAGGGTATGCCATGGAAACAAACCAACCCTGTAATCTCAGTGGTTAAAAACAAAACTCAGAAGTTAATTTCTTGATCACTCAGAGCTTGCTGTGGTCCTCTTGGTTCTCCAGGGCAGCTCATTTCCAAGCAGTAACTCATAGATCCAGGCTGTATCCTACCTCTGGAACACGGGGTTTCTAGTGCTGCTATAGCAGCAGAGATAACAGAAGTTCCTGGGTTTAGGAAGCAACACGTGGTACTTTACTCACATGTCATTGGCCAGAACTAGTCA